GGTCGAGTAGCTGTTGCAACTTCCTTTTTCGGTGCACCAGATCTTTGCAAGACATTGCCGCTTTGAATTGTAGGAGCGCCGCATCTTGGTGTTTGCCAAAGTGTTGTAAAACTTCTGCAGCTTCAGAACTTTGACGCTGCTGCAAGTAGCTTACATAGTATTGTAAAGCCTGCGGTCTTTGCTCGAGAATTTTGAGAAAGTTTAAACGATTTAACGTTTTTTTGAGGAATAATAGCACGCCAATGACCGCATCGCCACCTCCACACTTCAGCACTGCGTCGAGAAGTTGTTCTTTTTCGTGCAGCGATTTGAACACTTCCAACGGTGCATTCTTGCCAAGCAATAGTTTGTGTGCCGTTGCTTCGGCTGACGGATTGTAAAACGTAGTTTGAATTTGTCTACGTAGCAAACGTAACTCCTCTTCTGGCGCAACGCCTTTCGATACAATGCGGTCATCAAGGGTTTGCTCCTGCAGCAATTTCTTTAGTGTATCCTCTGATATCACAGACTTTATGGACAGGTTGAGAGCACTACCCGTGACACTGTTATCAAAGCTTGCCTCGGAGATAGTGTCGTAATCGTTGAGTATGTTGCTTACATTCATATTACTGCCAGAAGCAGATGCACATAATGAACTTTCATCGTCATCAAAGCTGAATCCTCTGCTAGCCGAACGATTCCAGTAACATTCGCTATCAAATTGGTCCATTTTTGCAAGAGTTGTCAGTTTTGTTTTTAAATAAGAAAAATCCTTTTTAAGATCAGCTGCAAGGCGCATCCATACAAGGCGGTGGCAACTGCATATAAGTAAAAGTCTCGTGTATTTTGTTATTGCTTTTTGGTACATCAGTATGTCAAATCGAAAGGAATAGGAGATAATTTTTTTAATTGATGCGCCTTGATCAGCTGTATTCTGACATTCAGTTGATTGTTTACGAATATATGAGTAAAAGGATAAAGAGATATCATCAGGGTTGCATTAGAGTTGAAAAAATATACGGGGTGTTCCAGAAGTGAATAGTGGGGCTTACGGCATCCAACCTCATTAGTATAAAAAATGATAAAAAATACGAAGGTAGAACCGCTGAGACAAATTTTTCAAATTCTTGACGTTTGCAAGCAATTTAATTTTAAACACAAACTCACACACACATTCTCATTTTCAATCTCAACAAACAACTTTGAACAATTCCTTTCTTTACTCTCAATTTTATATGATTTTAAAATGTTGGCAAACTTAAAAAAAAAATCATGGTGAAAATTTTCCAAAACGAATCCAGGCTTTGGAAAAAAGATATTGGCGAGTATAGAGGAGCTTTTTCAGATTCTAAACCTGAAGACCCCACCCTCCGGAGGCTTATAGTTTTTAAGTAATTTGCATTTAAAATTGCAAAAAATACCGAATTCAATATCACTTGTTATAATAAAAATTTTTTATAAAAAATTGGGCGATTTTTAAATAAGACTCTTAATTTTTTATCGAAGTATCGATTTAAAAATAAAAAGCGCCGCAGACGAAAATATTTAATAAAAAAATCGTGAGGTTTTTACTTAAAATTGCTCATTATTTATCGAAGTATCGACCAAAAAATGAAAAAAAAAACACTAAACGGAAACAATGAAAACATGCACATAATGTTGCGCGATATTTTATTAAAAATTGTAATTATTTATAGCGCGATTTATCGAAGTATCGATGTTATAATAAAACGCGCCGCGGCAGGGGAAGATTTTTAATAAAAAATCGCGTGATTTTTAATTAAAAATTTTCATTACTTAACGAAGTAAAATAAAAAGCGCCGCAGCATACGAATACGAAGTCTACTAATATTTTCAAATAAAAAATTATACTTTTCGTTCAACATTGATGACAAAAACTGAAAATGGGGTAAGTCCCCCCTACCCTAGAGGCACCAAAAAGATGTAAGCGAATTTTTTTTTTACTTTTTAATTTGGAGGCAGAAATGCATTTAGCTGCTCTAGGAACGGTTAGGGCTCAAATGTGAAAATTACGTGATTGACGGAAAATCTAACTCGCGCACGCTCACGCCATCCATGTTTCAGTCACGCAGGATCACGGAAGTTACTTGATTTTTCTCTCCAAACCACTCACGCTCAAGCGTGAAAAAGCGTGACACAACGTGTCACACATGTTTTTCCCTAGTAACTACAAACCACATCTTTTTCGTTTACCCTTTTTTTAATATAACGGTTCCGGTAAAGCTCGTACAAATATAAATACACATATACATATGTACACAGTGAAAACTTGTACTGTACTCCTGAAAAGTATGCTACTAAGGGGCAATTGTTCATAATGGGCACGTTCAGAAGGCGCAACAGCTCAGTAACTGTTTCGATTGCACCTTCTGAACGCGTTGCGCTCAACTTCTGCGCCTTCTGAACCTACCCAATGCTCATTTTTGATTACCTTAAAATTTTAATTGTAATCAAAAGAAGTTTTTTTTGAGTAAGTTTATTTGATTTTAGCTCACTTTATACAAAATTTTGCGTTTTTTTTTACATAAAATTGCTTAAGCTCAGTTATGTACCTACAAGTGTAGGTAAGAAATTTATTAACTCAACCAAATTATTTGTATGTACATATGTATGCATTAATGTATATTAATAAATAATAATTGCATTTATTTAATAAGGAGATTACTTAAATTACTTATTCGTAGCACAAATTACTAAAATATTTTTACATAATAAATATTTCTTGTCGCGTTTTTCTATTTACTTTTCGCATAATTACGATAATACAATGATCAAAATTATTGTTGTAGCACCTAAGCCCTATTTATGTATGTATTATATATTAGTTAAAATAAGTATTTTTCCAAACAACTTTGCACAACCGCTTACATATTTATATGTATATGTATGTATGTAGGTAGATACTCAAAGTTTCTACAGTCATGCGCTGCTATTCCTTGCTAATATCGTCATATTTCGTTAATTATTGATCTACATATGCGTGTATGTATGTACATACACTTACATATTTGTCTATTTATTAATTCTTTAACTCATAAATCATATACTTTTTCGAAAAATATTTTATGTACATACATATTATTTATGTAAGTATGTCTTTTGATTATATCACTTGCAATTTTTAGCGTAATTCTAATTGTCAACAATGACATGAGCCCCTGTGCGTGAGCCAAGCACATGTAAATACATGCATGCATGTATGTATTTATGTACGTACATACATATAAGCGGCATTTGTGAGCTACTAAGCTCATAAGCTATATACCTACTATATATTTAAACATAAACTTATTATTTGTCTGCATTTCGATTCAGCAATTTTTCTGAGCATATTCCCTTAATGCTACTTGAAGAAAAGCACCAATAATACCCGATAATACAAATTTCGATTTATCTATAATGCTTAAATAATGTTAGAACAAAAAAGTAATTGCTTACACTCTCAATAAGCTGCGCTTATATAGTTTAATTGAAGGGTTCCATGCTCGCGGTTTTCTAATTTCTGGTGTGTTGCTTTCGGCGCATTTTATCTTTTAAAGAATTGCTGCGTGAATGCTACATTTCATTGGGACATTATTTGCATTTTCGTTTAGAAATATGTATGTATATAAAATTTTTTTTCCAGCCACCCCCAGAACTGGAGAATTTCGTAAATAAGGATACCCATATTTTTTTATTTTGAACTCTGCCGCCGGGGCTTTCAATGTACGGCACTGTTAAATATCCCAGTAGATAATTTCAGCAGTTAAAAGCCCTTCCGAAAGGTCTTCCCGAGTCAAGAGGCCTTCCACTCTACATTCCTTTCCTTATTGTATGGAGTGGCACAAATTGAAGGGCTTCTTCTTTCGCTACCCATGGAAGGCTTTCCAGAAGGGCTTTTATGGGACCTACGTCAGTTGCTTCTTTAATTTATAAAAATCATACATCTTTGAAGTATTTGCTTAAGGTTTATATCAAGTATGTCTTATTGCAAATTAAAATGTTTATTGAAATTCATTTGTAATACTAAATAATATAAATTTATGCATTCGCGTAAATTGTAAATGTATAAGCCCTTCTAGAAGGCATGCAAGGAAGTACTTTTTTCAGCCCTTCTTCTGTAGGCCTCTTAGAATGGCTTCTCTTAAGAAGGCCTGTTTAAATTATCTTCTGGGATTAAATTATTTAAAAATAAATAAATACGGATCTCCTTATTTTTAAAATTCTTCAGTAATAAGGCATGTGCGCGTCAAAATTTCAAAAAATGGATTTTCGCGTGCCGGTTAAGCTCTCGTTCCCTAAGATTTTTCTAAATGGAAAAAAATAATACCCGCACTTTTTTGTAAAAAAAAATTATATTTAGAACTGCCTACTACCAAGGATTGATTATGGCTCCTCCTGTTGCATTTTTTTGGGACCTATAAAAATAATTAATATTAGGAAATGGTTAAATAAATAATTGGGTAATATTATTGGAAGTCTCCTGAAGAGAACTAGAGTTTTTCGATCGAAAAATATTTATTTTCAAGAATTCTATACCATTTCCACGAAAAAGTTCATGGGCTTTGCGGCAGTTCTAAATATTTCTTTGTAACAAAAAAATATGGGTATTCGTTTTTCCATTTAGAAAAAACTTAGGGGTGAGAGCTTAACATTTTAAACTTTTTTTTGGACCACCCTAATATACACACATATATACATACATAGGCCATGCATGCACATACATATATTAGTACACAAGCTATCGAGAATTCAGAAACGACAACACAAACCGTTTTCACAGATTCAATATTATATCTTTCAAAAGCTACCACATATTAACGTTAAAAGGAAACTAATTCTCAAGCGTGTGCTAGGCCACATTTGCCGCTGACATGCTTTTGGGATACAAAACTTCTTAAGCTTAATTGTTACAAATTCGATAACTCTGATTACTACTTAATTCTATGAAATAAATACAAAATTGACACACTCTGCTTCAATTGCATAAGTACAGTAGTTTTCTTAAAGTACTTGTCGACATCGGAAAAGTATCGTGTTACGCTCATTCGATTAATTTTTTATTTTTAATAAGAGTTGTGAAAAGAAGAAAATATCTTTGTTTTGTTGTTGTTATTTTATGCGCCTTTTTAATGAGTACAACCTATTAAAACTAGTTTATTTTTTTACTTAAAGCTTCTCCGATTCCACAAAAAAATCAACTCTATTCTTCAAGAAATGCTTCTTCTGCATACATTTAATAAGCACTGTACGCACTTCCAAACTCTTACCACCCATTTAATAATGCATCTGTACTTATTTATTTGTTAGCCTCTTGTACCTCACCATCGGGCGAGGTTTTCGCTGTTGAGGTTGTGAGTGGTTCCACGTTTGTGTTTACCGCCGCATTACTGGTCAAAAGATCTGCACCGGATGGAACATTGGATAGTGGTGGTTGCGGCGCTGGCTGCTGCATAACGGCAGTTGGTATTATCGCAGCCGCTACCACGGGCACAACCGTAGGACCACCATCGACGCCGGGCGCTGCGCTGATTGTGCGTGCCAGTTTTTGCTGTTGCCGCTGCATGCGCTCCTTTTCGCGCGCTGCTTTCAATTTATCGAAATCATCGCCTTCATCATCACCACCAGGCGCATCTGTTGTCGATTTGATTTCCATGTCATCGACTGTGAAGCACAAAAATGAGGTGAAAGTGAGTGAAGTTGTTTATTATATAGTACATACAGTGAGTGTCAGTGAAAATCGTACAGTATTTATTTTTTTTAACTTTTTGAAAATATTTGGTGTTTTTGAATTTTACAAATTTTCAATACAATATAGTTTACACTCGAACAAATTCCCTAAACTCAAAGTTTGTAACTTTGTGACAAAAAAAAAAAATCGTAAAATTTTCATAAAAATTCCACACTTTTTAGTCAGAATTTGTAGAATTTTTTGGTATGCAGTTTACTAGTTTACACTTAACTTGAGTGCAAGTTTGAGGTCGCTACAAAAACCGTTGATTTTTGGCAATTTTTTTTTTGTGAATGGTGTTGCGCATTTTCATCCATATAACGCATGAACAAAATCTGTTCTTATATGGAAGAAAATATGCAACACCCTCGGAAAAAAAAAAAAAAATTAACTATATAATAGCGCAGAGCCAAAAAATTCTGGATAAAATGTGTGAGATTTTAATGAAAATTTTACGATTTTTTTTAATTGTTAAAAAGTTAGAAACTTTGGGTTTTATGGATTTTTTTGTAGTGTGAACTACATATGTATATATATTTTTAGTAAGAATTAATAAGATTTAAGTAAAACAAAAAAAAAAAAAAAATACTGCCCGATTTTCACTGACATTCACCGTATGTAATCACCAATGGAACTCAATGAGAAATAAAATTATGCTTTCTAACTAGCTAGCATGCAATTGGAGGAGGTTCTATAAACTAATGCATATATATGTATGTAGATATTTTGAGCAATTCGATGTCGAAGTGTTAATTTATTTCAAGTTCAACCAACTGGGTTTGGGCCCTCGAAGGGTTCGATAGCATATATGTACATAATTAAAAATAAAAACATTAAAGTACAAAATTTATGACATTTAAGAATCGGATATAAATTTATATAAATTTCTGACATAAGTATGCACAGAGTATTTTCGATGATCTTTTCGTTAACAAAAATCAATTTCTTCATCAAAACAGTTTTTTTCTAATAAATAGTAGATATATATGTCTAGGAAAATATTCGATCCACTTTAGAAGATTTAAAAGCTTTAGTTTATTTGGTGGCAGTTATGAAGGTTTCCTATGCGACGCACACATTTGTCATTTCGAAACGAATGCAATTAAATGGCGAAGCACACTCGATATCGAATGTCGCGATCCCAAAAACAAATTTCCATTCGAGTTACGTTCGATTTTGAGTGCCGTGATTCGGGGCCGGATTTATTAACTTTGATAAAAGTGTCTGTAAACATATTTAGCAAGGCGAATTTATACAAGGTGGTGTTAGCAGAACAAAAATAAAAATTACAATAACAAATTACACGCCCATTGACAATCAGTACAAAACAAAATTACAACAAACACATAATTTTGACAAAAGGTACAAATTCGCTGTGAAATCAGCGGGCCCGGTAACACCACCTTGTATAGATTCGCCATGATATTCAGCTTTATCGTTAGTTTCGTCCGAAAAGGAATTCGCTCGAATTTTTTTCAACCGCCCGTAATGAATCCATTGAAGCGAAAACATAACGATCTCGGGCGAAAATTGAAGTCATGACAGCCATGAGTTGTTTTCTGCGCTTAAAATGGCTGCTTTGTTTCTTTTTTTATTATGTTTTTTTTTGTATACCTGTCTACAAAAAAAAAAAACTACCATAACGGACAAAAATTTTCAATCAAATTTTATCCAAAACGGTCATAAAATATAACTACGATCGAATAAATTGGTCCCAATAATAACAATGAAAACAACTAAGAGACCACTACTATTAATAAAAGTGCTAACTGTGACTAAAAACCAACAAAAAAATACTTTTGACAAGTAAAAAGTTTAATACATTTATTTTGTCTACCTTTTAAAATGTCAATGATTAAGCAGCATTTCCCAAACAATTCTTTGAGTAGTGCTTCATGTAACAACTTCTCAAGTATACGTACATATGTATGTATATGCATGCATACTAATCAGCTGTGAAATGCTCAAAAATATAAGATGCAATCCCGTATTCCTCGGACTAAAACTAGTATAAAATAAAAGTTCGCTCAGAGCGAGAGAGTAACATTGAAAAGTACGGGATCGCTTTCTAGTAAAAACTGGAAACTTCTGTCAACTTTGACATAACCTCTAAATTTTGGTTGTAATTTTTTGATTATTTTGTATGTAAAGACACTCAGCTCACACATGTAAATAACCAAAAATACTTTCAAATTCATTAGAATTCACTTAAACAATCCGAATGAACTCGAAAATATCATTTCCAACTTCGAATGCTGATTCGAAATCAGCTAGTGCAAAGGAAACAATAGACATTTACATATGTATGCCATTTTGCTCATGCTGCCGCCGCAGTCGCAATGCCCCAGTGAGCAACGCACTACATAGACTGCCAATTGAGGGATCCGAGTCGTTCGGTAGCGAAACTTTTTTTTATTTTTTCAATATTTTTTTTTTTTGTAGTTAAGATTTTATTATTTTAAAGAGTAAAATATTTTTTTTTATATTAACTTTTATGATATTAAAGTAATTCGGTTTTTATCCTAATAAATTGTTTTTAAGCTATTATTTCCAGGTTTCAAAAAAATATTCATTCATTAAATTGAGACGAGCAGATGAATGTGTGTATGTACACATTTATGTAATAAATATAGTTTATTAACAATAATGCAGCTTTTTCCAATATTTTTAAGATTCAGTGATTTTAAATTTTGTTCCGACATCACAAACTCGTTGTAGAATATCTCTATGAATCTTCATTACGATAACTATCTACGAATTTCGAATTTACGTTCATAGCCATTCGGATTCTGTGATAGCCCTGAATACAAAATGCAAATAAGCGTTCGGGAGTAATACTGAAAAATAGTTGTCAAGTCTAAACATATCTAAATACATATATTTTAAAATTTTGCTCAATTCTTATTCATTCGAAAACTATATTGAAACTCCCTAATGTATGTACATATTAGGGATGTTGCGAATGTGGAATTTTAGACATCCACGGTTCAGAATGCGGATACGGATGTTTAAAAGCTATTATCGCGGGTGCGGATGTGAATGCGGACGTCAAGTATTTCTAAGAAATAATTTAGGTAAGTTAGCTATGAGATTTAGGTTTATGAGGTTAGTCATTTTTAACTCAACTTTTTCACATTCCACTTTATTTTTATTTCGCTGCGTGCGAATTTTGCCAATTATCACAAAATTAAAATAAATTTGTTTGTTGTTATTTTATGACCTTATAACAATTATATTCAAAAAATTTTATTGAGCTTGAGGCCGTTTTTAATGAAAAACTAATGTGGAAATGCAACAATAATTATGAAAATCAACACATTTCCTCATCAGTGGGATGCGATCTAACGACCCCAACTGACTCAGCCAGTTGCTTACGTTCGCCTTGCAAATTCTTGTTGCTTTTTTCCACTTTTTTCATTTGTGAAGCCAACTACAATCAAGCGCAGCTATACCGGTGCTATTCGAACTTACTCATGTGGTTGTTGGTTTTGGTTATAATTCTCAATATATATGTATATAAAAAATATATATAAAAAATAATGTTTAACTTATAGGTGTGTTCGTCGTTAAGTTATTTTGTGGCCTTATAACAATTATATTCAACCATTTTTATTTAGCTTCAGGCTTTTCCACAATAGTTTTTCATTAAAAACGGCCTCGAGCTCAATAAAAATTGTTGAATTAAAATAAATGTTGCTGTTTTCGAGCGCACAGAGGAGTATTTGCATAGTAAAAATTATCTGGTGTGTTTTTCCGATAAGTAATAAAAGAAAACATGCAACTTAATCATAATAAGCCGATTTGTGAAAAAAAAATTATTACACTTATCCAGGAAAAAGTAAAATAAAAACTAGAGATGCATCCAGTTTTTGCAACAGAACTTTGGCAAATAATATTCGATAGGTAGTGACATAATTGTCATTGTGCCAGATATATGTTTTATATCAGTGCACTTGCATAATATTCGCATTCGCAAAAGCTCCGCATTGATTATTGCGAATGCGAAAGCGAATGCAAATGTTAAAATTAATGCGGAAGCTCCGCGGTATTTAGTCTCAATTAGAAGAATGGTAAATTTCACAGAAAAGTGCTGAAATGGAAGAAAACACCCTGGCTATCTTTGCTTCTATGTGGCTTTTCCGTAAGTCACATGAAAATTTTGCTTATTTTTTAAGTCACTTGGCACAGTGGCCTTAACACAAGGAAAGGATAAAACCCAATCAACAAAGCAATATTCACTATAATTTCACTATTTAATACTATTTATTAGTATTGAATACTAAATCCTTAATTAAACGTATGAAAAAACCTGTGTCCGGAAGACACAGGCCGTTTAAATAATTCAAGGACATCTCGCAAGCACTTCCGTCGCCGGAAGAAATGATTGCGGGTCATCAAATGTATAATCTGACTCATAAAAACAATTCAGAACATTTTCATTTAAACCAATGTCTAGTAAATAGGGTGACCGCTATAAAAACTTACGAGTTTGCGTCGTTAACCTCGGTTTACAACTCCCATGGTACGAATCCATACGTACTCCGCTGACATAATGTTGTTGTTTTTTTTCACTGTGGTTCGACTTTCTTATCCGCGTCTAAAGAGAGACCTACAGGATACTAGGACTTTATTTTTCACTCTGAGCTTGTTAAAAGAGTGCGGTGGTGGTTGATGAAAAGGAGATGGGATTATCCACAGTGAGGCTAAAATTTTGACGCGTGGAGTTCGAGTCTGAGACTTCGGAGAAAATAAATTATTGCCTCACATAGACTGCTATTGGCTCTGATTAGGGACTTCCAAAAAAATTTACTCATTTATTGCTCAGTATGAAGTCCTATTTTCTGACCTAGTAATTTAGCAACAGCCCTATTTTAGGGGTCTGCCTAGCAACAAATATTCTCAAGATTAACAGAAAGTTTGAGAGTATCTGCACAGATCAAAGTTAAAAGCGCTTTATCGGCATATATAGACACCTTTGTTCGTTGAAATCGCACACTATTTATTGTTCTAGTTAATAATGAAGATTCTTTCTGTTATAAAATCCAATATTTACCCGTATTGGAAATGAGTTTATGAATATAAAATAATATAAATTTCGTAGCAAGTAGTATGTTTGTATGTATGTATGTATATATGTATCTATCTATGTATGTGTGTCACAGTATAATATTAACAAGTAAGAAAGTCTAAGTTCGGGCGGAGCCGAACATTAAATACCCGGCGCAAGTATTAAATATATGTTTTTTCACCTTTCCGAAACCTTCCGCTAGATGGTAAGCCGGGGNACAATAACCATACCGAGTTTGGTACAAATTGGTAGAACGGTTACCGATATACTTATATGTGATCATAAGTGGGCGGTGCCACGCCCATTTTCCAAAATTTTACCATAAACGTATTTCTTGGTAAAAAACTGTTGCAACCATCAATTTTGAATAAATTAGCTTTAATATTTAATATTTTATCGAAGATTTTGTATTTCTCTAAATTACCGTTATATGGGATGTGGGCGTGGTTATTGTCCGATTTTAAAAAGTTTCGGCGATTTTTTATGCTGTACCAAGGCCAACAACTGTGCCAAGTTTGGAAGAAATTGGTGCAGCGGTTACCAAGATATACACATGTAACCATAAGTGGGCGTGGCTACGCCCATTTTCCAAAAATTTATAATATTCTTATTTTTCGTCTAAAAATTATTGTAAATATCAATTTTGAGTGAATTATCTTCAGTAGTTACTAAAATATCGCAGTTTTCGTATTTCTGGAAATTACCGTTATATGGGAAGTGGGCGTGGTTAAAGTCCGATTTCGCCCATTTTAATTAAGGATTAAGGGAAACCTAGATACCAAATTTCGTTGAGATATCTCAATTTTTGCTCGAGTTATCGTGTACACGGACAGACGGACGGACAGACAGACATGGCTTAATCGATTTCTTTTTTCATCCTGATCATTTATGTATACATTTGTCTATATCTATCTCGATTCGTTTTGGCTGTTACAAACAACCGTTATGTGAACAAAATTAATATACCCTTGTGCACAAGTGCGCTCGGGTAAAAAAAAGTTAACGGCAGCTAAGCAATCCTAATTCGAATAAGTATAAATAAAGAATCAAATTGGGGTTAATATCGATTTTTTTTTTAAATTTGTCTCGCCTGCAAGACAGCGCATAAAACAGTTTAAACAATAATTAAGTTATCAAAAACAAAACATGCCAATAAATATTGTTACAAAAGTCAACATATGTAGAGAAAAAGCAACGGAACTTGTTCACTATACTTAGAAAAGGAACAACTAACTAAACAACAAGGAATTTAGCAAAATTAAAATAAGTTTTAACAAAAATTTTACCAGTCGATAAAAACCATCTGAAAACCTGCGGCGCATCGGCGGGACGTTCTAATGCTGATTTCCAAAACAAAAAATGGATAAATGAAATTTTTTTAATGCTGAAGTTGTTTGTGTTTTTATGCATCAAACTCTCTCTCGAAATTTTTACACTTACCCGTTTCGCAACTGCCCTTTTCCTGATTGATTTGCTGATCGAAGAGAGATTTGGTGCTCGATGGATCAGCAACTGGCGAGTTTGGCACTGTCTGCACCATGCGTGGACTGCCATTCGTTGGCGCAGACGTGCTAAGCAATGCCTCCACACCGCCCGGCGGAAAGAGCGTCGGCTCGTAAGTGGACTGTGTGCGCATGTATGACGCGGGTCTGGGCGGAATATCCATAGGCACGGAGCGCTGTGCCGCCGATGAACTTTGATTGTTGAGATCCTGCAAGAAAATATCGCGCACATTCGGGCGCACCTGATCGTTGGCACGCTGCGAAGTGATCGTGGTTTGTTCGTCGACCTCTTCGATGACTTGATCAGTGATGCGTATACTACCGGGTGGCTTCATAATCAAATTGCCGGTTAGACTGGCCGAACTTGCACTGCCAGGAAAACGATTTTTTTGTGAAATCTCATCGACTGGTGTTGTGGAGCCGGGACGCTCTTCGCGACTGAGGAAGCGCTTTAGCGCCGATGCAACTGTATTGACGCGCGACAATGTGCCACTTAAGCTGGCAAGGCTGGGCGAAGAGCCGTGTCGCACCTTGCCATTGCCGGCTGTGAAATGAATGCCACTAGCATCATCGGCCTATAAAATTGAGTGAGGAAATGCATACATGGTTTTGTTAATATGAATGTAGAAAGAAAATTCCAATTGCAATTTGTTTAGAGAACTGTCAAATATATTTTGTTACCCAAAGCATTGTAGGAAATAGCCAATTGATACAGTTATATGGTTAAGATATTTAGAAAGTGTGCGTGCAGTTAATATATAAATCCGTGAAAGTTAGACTCACACAGTTTTGAGGTGCGTGCGGTTAAAGTGTAATCCAGAACCCTGTTACCACACATATGTACGTGTGCTATGGTGCAGTGATTTTGAGTGAGTTCAACTTAGTTGCATTTGAGTGCGTGTCACGAAATTAATTTAAATGAAAGTACACAAAAAATTATTCTAAAATAAATATGTTTTATGCGTGTGTGTATTAGGAATGTTAATCTCGGGATCCTGGCCTTTTTAAGGTCCCAAAAATCCCTGGATTCTTGGAAAATAATCCCGGGATTTTCGGGATTTGTAATTTGCACTGCTGGCAATAATAGAAACTCCTTTTCTTGACTAGTATTGGCTATATTTTTTTTATTTATTTTATAATTAAGATTTTATTATAAATGTCTAGCACTTTATACATATAACACCTCGCGAAAGTAAGTTTTAAACACAAATATAAATATATTCGCGAAACAATGGGCAAAAAAAGTAAAATTGCGTTTTTAGTTAGAAGTATGGGTATGAAATTAAAAAGGAAATCCTGTAGAATTTAAACAGAATATATATTTTGGTGCAGAGGTACTGGTAAGTATTGAAAATGTACTTCTAAAATTTTATTATTGAAATTTCGCAATATTTGTTTTTGAAAAAAATTTAAGTTAAGGACTTATATAAACACGACAACATCCTCGAATTTCGTCCTTGTAGCTTTATCAACTTAAAAAATTACCTATTTGTCCTTGTGAATCCAAAAAATTTAAATTTTTTTTAATTCTAAAGAAATTTCCTCTTACATTTGGTTCCCATATTTTTATTCTACATTGCATTGAATTTTTTATATATTTTTTGGAATTAATCATATCTTTGAAATTATAAAGTCCTTTAAAATAAATCCTGACGTCAGAGAGAAAAAATAAAAACGCAACTTTAAATAAAAAAGTAGGTTTCAAACCCATTTATTTATTATTTATTTTATGGTAGGAGAAACAATTTTTTCGATTTAAGTTGTTGAAAAGTAATGAATATCTAAATCCCAGGACTAATTCCGGGATCCCGGTATTATGATAACGACAACCCGAAAATCCCGGGATCGGAAAAAGCTGAAAAATTAACATCCCTAGTGTGTACGCATATGTATGTGAAAAATATATGCCCTTTATTATTTTAAATAACTTTGTAAAAAATAAAAGAACTGGTTCTTGAAAATCGAAATAAATCTAAGTAAAATTTTGCAAGCCATGTCCCGATGGAGGCTTGATAAATCAGCGACTTTTTTAATAAAATCCATTTTTTTTCACCAAAAAAGTGTTTTAATCTTCAACTTACCTCCCTATTTTGAAGTCGTACGATGCACGGTAAACGCTTGCATTCTGTTATCATCTTTTACGAATCAATATTAGTTGCGTTTTTGTACTCATTTCCAGTAAAATCCAGTAAAAGTTTTTACGAATTTTCATGTTTTGGCGTTTTCGTACGCAGAAACTTGCAAAGTAGGGGAAATTGAGAGAGCGAAAAATGACAGTTGAAGTTGCAAGTTTTTACTGGATTTTACTGGATAAATTTTTTCTTGTAAGAATTTGCCAGTACGAAAAAAAGCTGATCGCATGTTGCTGGATGAAATTTAAACTAATAAGGAAACTGTTTGTGGGTTTTTATTGTTGAATTTCACAAAATAAACCTATTTAAATACAAAATATATTAGTTGTGTTTTTTTACAAATTATCCAGTAACTTGCCAGTAACTCTCCAGTAACTTAATTTCTAAGAATTCGCTCTCATAGAAAAAATTTCCAAAAAAGTACGTGAACGCTTTTCCAGTAATAATTTGGAACTTTCATGAACAGCTGATTAATTGGTTGTTTATTCGCAGCATATTCCTAATAAAACAATATATTTTATATTTAAATACGTTTATTTTTTGAATTTCCGCAATAAAAAGCAACAAACAGTTTCCTTATTAGTTTAAATTTCATCCAGCAACATGCGATCAGCTGTTTTTCGTACTGGCAAATTCTTACAAGTAAAAATTTATCCAGTAAAATCCAGTAAAAACTTGCAACTTCAGCTGCCATTTTTCGCTCTCTCAATTTCCCCTACTTTGCAAGTTATTGTTACTGGAGTTACTGGAGAGTTGCTGGCAAGTTACTGGATAATTTGTAAAAAAAACACAACTATTGTCGTATGAAATCCGATAGTTAGCGTAGTTGATTTGTGCTGGTTCACAATAAAAAGTGAACAGAAACCACACAGCCATTCACAACAATACATCTGTCGGGCGTATAAAACCGATAATACGAGAACTGTTTTCATAGGATACGCTTGCAAGCGTTTATCGTCTATCGTACGAAAATTCACAATAGGGGGTTAGTTTCCTTTTGGGTCGTTACGAACAGACCAATTTTTTTGAAATTTCTTTATCTCTTTCAAATAATGAAAGGTTCCTCAGTGATGAACTCAAGTGTTTTCCTGGTAGCCTGCCTATCTATGTATGTTTATGGTTAGGATGAAAAAGTAAAAATAAACGTTTGCCGGAAGTACTTCATAACTCAAAATACCGAAAACTAGAGAAAAAACGATTTTAAACTAGTTTGTTAGTTATTTCCTATTTAACAGGAATAAAAACTATAGAATATGTAAAATAATTAGAGTCAGAGTATAAAACTTTAATTTGTTTTTCACAACACTTCTCTTAAAGCTAAGGTCATCAAAAAGTCCAAAAGTGCTGTAGCGGGTAGATAGTCAATGTGCACGTATTGTGACGCTCTAAGGCCTAAGTTTCTCTCGCGTCTCTTGGAAATAACTGCGCAAAGACGTTACAAGGGTGCCATTTGGTCGAATAGCAGAAGCGGTAGGGATCGTAAGACCAGATATCTAGTTTGCGTATGCAACCCCTGTAGAATACCTGTGACGATTTCTTCTTTGGGAGATTGCTTAGAAGTGGAATTCCTTCGAAACTTTATCCCCCAAGTAAAAACTCTTTGTCTGGCGTAGTACTGCAGTGCGCCATCAGTTTTTAACCGACTTCCAAAAAAGTAGGAGGTTATCAGTTCGTCGGATTTTTTTTTTTTTATGTATGTTACCGCATAACTTTGGACCACGTCAACCGATTTCGATAATTCTTTTTGCATCGGAAAGGTAGTGCCTCAGAGGTGGTCCCAAACTAATCTGGTTGAGAGCCGATCATATATATATATATTTTATATGGGAGTTGAAGTCGGTTTTTTTTTTTGCTAAAAATTACTTGTGTTCTCATATTGTTCTTCTTTAGTTTCTGAGCTCTTAACTGATTGCGATTGAACAAATTGCCAGGAATTGGTATTGTTTTTTCACGAGCATTTCGAAGCACATTTAAATTTTGTAGGAAAACTCAGACAAAATTTACATGAAGAAATAACTACGTTCTTTTTTCACTATTAAGGAAGGCTAAAAAATCTGTAGGTCACGAAAACTTCACTGCTAAGTCCAAACGAGAATAAAACCAAAACGTCTCAAATACTATTTTGTATATTATCCCTCTGGAATACGGCTAGCGGGAGCTGGGAGCCTAATTTCTCCATATTCCTGGACAATATTTACCATCGAAGTTTGGTGTTCGCATACAGTACTAGATAATTCACTTCACAGGTAAGACTGGCAGTAACTTCACTTAAAGTTATATCTCTCATGCCGAAAGGGACCTTTATCTGGTAAAAGGCATGATTGACGTGGAAAAGAGTAAAGCTGAAAAATAAGCAATGGCTTTTCCTATGAGACAATTTCAGGTATCGGTATGAATTTTTCACGCATACTACATATCGCTAGCTTAGAATGAAAAGTTGCGAAGCCCAATTTTTATGAAAACTCATATTTTGATACAGGAAGCAATAGAAATTAAAGGTATTTGTTTAATTTTTTCTCGTTTATATACAATGAAATCCAATTTCGCTAAGTCCAAAAAAGGCTCCGAAAATCCGAACGAATGATAACAATTTAAATATTTTAAGGTGTCGAAAAATGCAACTCTACATCGAAGGCGGTTTAATACTTGGAGTAGTTTTTTTTGTAAATAAATATATGTATATGCTACAGTCTACATTTTGCTAAAACTACACTTGCAAATATACGCTTGTATGTGTGTATATAGAAATATATATGTGTTTAAGTAAAGCAATTTTACAGCTGCTGTAGAAGAAATAATTAGAATCAAATTTTACTTTTAAGACTGAAAAGATGTTTGAATATAGTTTAAGTGCAAACAAAAGTAATAATAGGGTGGTTCAACATTTTGTTTTTCCAGCCAATAATAAGGAGTGTATTCTCTGTTCATACACAGCATTGCAAATTTAACTTCGTTGGGCATTATGTCTATACTACCTCTGTATGTATGTATGTACATCTCATCGGCTGGATAAAATATTGTTGTATGCTACTTTCGGAAAGTTTTGGGAAATCTTGATTGAAGTTTGGAATGCAATTTCTCAAAAAACGGAGCGATAGATTTTCTCCAGAGTCTCGGAGAATGTGACTAGTTCACGAAAT